AGTGAAAAAGTTAAGGGGGTCTGAATACTTTCCGTACCCACTGTATATATATACACACACACACACACACACACACACACACACACTACCGTTCAAAAGTTTGGGTCAGTAAGATTTTAAAATGTTCTTAAAAGAAATCGTGTTCACCAAGGCTGCATTTATTTGATCAAATACAGTAAAGACAGTAATATTGTTGTAATATTGTAATAATGAAATATTAAATTTTAGTATATTTTAAATGTTAATTCATTACTGTGATGGCAGAGCTACATTTTTAGCAGCCATTGCTCCAGTCTCACATTATCCTTCAGAAATCATTGTAATATGCTGATTAGGTGCTTAAGAAACATTTCTTCTTATTCTTATTGTTGAAAACAGTTGTGCTGCTTAATATTTTTCTGGAAACTGTCATACATTTTTTTTTCATCTTTGATGAATAGAAAGTTCAAAAGAATAGCATTGATTTGAAATAGAAATCTTTTGATACATTTAAAAATCTTTACTGTCACTTTTGATCAATTTAATAGTAGTATGCTATAAAAGTAATAAACACATTATATCAAGGATCTTCCCATAATCAACAATATAAATCGAAGTTGTTGACTCGGCTATTGTGATGCTCATTTGTGGCCTTCTACAGAAGATTATATAGCTCAGTCTCAGAGCTCATGGTGGGAATGTGTGGAAAAGTTTATGCATTATCATTAAAAAAATCAGTTTTAGCTTCCAGAACCATGAGAGTTTCGCTCTATTGAGCGTGTCAGTATTTTACCGGTCTGAATTGGGTCTCTCCTGTGGTGTGTCATCAGGAGTAGCACTGCCAAGGATTCTCTTCCTGGCCTCTGCGTATTCTGCCTCTCGCTGAGCTAAGGATTTTACTTGTGGGGAGGGTCGAGTCTGTGTCACAGATGATCCTAAAGATCCATTACTGGAGGGTCGCTTTAAAATACGAATCTGAGGTGGGGGTGCAGCGGGGAGGGAGTCATCCTGGATTACGATCGCTGTCCTCATCGGAGAACGGCTCGAACTGCCACTTGAAAGTCTGGAAGAGCATCAAAAAGTGATTAGAGTAAAACAAGCTACACTGAGCAAAATATGGGCTCAAGGATGACCAGACATACCTTTCTTTCTGACTGATTCGAAGCTTTTCTTCTAGTCTTCTTTCCATTTCCTAAATCAAACACAAAAAAAATGAACACTTCATCTGGAAGAATATAGCATAAAGTAATGTTATAAAACAGTACAGACAGGCCACTTCAAGGAGGGGCCTCTGAACCAGCAGCAAGTTTTCAATTTCACAAAGTTATTTATATATCTTTAGTGCAGATGCTAAATTAATGACAGGGCCAAATTACAGAGTGCTGCTTGAGTAGGTAGACAACATAAGGCTTTTCTAAACAGAGATTTGAGGGAAAGATGTGTTTACAGAACCTAATGGCTGGGGTGTTGACGTTGCTGCCAGACAAATACAGACCTAAATCTTTAAAAAGTCTCACGTTTTAAAAGAGCAGCCATGATACATGATACCATATTGCACGCACTTTCTCTCTCTCTCTCTCTCTCTCTCTCTCTCTATATATATATATACATATATGGCACTAAATGAGAGTAAAGAAACTTTTTTTCCTGTCAAGGGCATATTTAAAGGAACATCTCACCAAAAATCTAAATTCTGTAATTTACTCATTCTTATTTTGTTGTGAAACTATGAATTACGTTCTTCTATGGAAAACAACCGGAAATGTCAGGCAGAATGACAATCACAGTAACGATTTACTCTCGTTCTACTGGAAAAAAAACAATGAAAGTGAATGGAGAGACTGAGACTGCATTTTGCCTCACATCATCCATTTCGACGACGAAAAAGGTCAGTAATGCGAGTAAACGACAGCTTTTTCTTCTTATTTCAATTGTTGAGTGAACAATTATTTTAAATGCATCTACAAAACAATAGTATCGCTCACAAGATCCACACATCTGTAAGTTATAACTATCCGAAAGTTACAAGATCCGAACTTTTTGAGATAAACCTTCCATTTTTCATCTAAATCACTACAAATACTTTACCAAATAAAGATATGTGGAATTTCAAATACATTGTCCCCACGGTATCATTTACAACAGAACCCAAGACAATTTGAAAACTTGTGAAAACCGCCTGTTGACTATCTGAATGGAGACTATCCCACCTCGATTTTCCGCTTCTTTGAAATCGTATTTCCGCATAAAGTCAACTCATAAAATTCTACACATATCAAAAAGACACAGTCCCTTCTATACGACATCCAACAGGTCTCAGTCCATTCGGGAGCCATCTTTGGTATCTTACCAGGATATTGAATAAGTATACGCTGGTTAGAATGAATAAGTACAAATTGCGTCTTTTTTGGTTATTAGCTTATAAATCCAGTTGACACACTTTATTAAGCACTGCAGAAGAAGGATATGCATTGTTTTATAGGTATTACAAGTAAATGCTATTTTTATAAGGTAACTTTAGTTTTAGCATCTTACATAATAATTACAGCTTATGATAGGAAAGAGTTTCATATAAAGTAAGTCACACAGAAAAGTGCGCAGTCTGCTACTGCGCATTTCGTTACAAATCAGAATGTGTACAAACCAGTAACTTACTGAGCAGTTGTGCAACAGCAAAACGCACATTACAGTCACCGTCTGCTTCAGTCCAAGGTTCCCAAGGTATAAAAAACGGCTTATTTTCTCCTAAAAACAGCTTAATTGTTTCGTTTTGTAGTCTACTACTAAATCGCTTAATATATAGCAACATTAACTCAATTAGGCCATACATGATAATAAACGTACGAGAGATTAAACGATTAGACACAGAAAAAGTCTTACATAAAAACATTTTGGTGAACAGTTATTAAAATGGTTATATGCTTAATCACAGCTAATTTGAAGGAAAATATGGATGGGACAACACGCGAAAGGCTGAGTCAAATTCAGGGTGTCCCAGTACTAGAGCGGGTGGTGAAGTACTGGGCAAGAGTGGAGAAATTCCAGGCGTCAAATGAGGATTTACTCATTACCACGTATCCTAAAGCAGGTAGAGTACAAAAGACTGAAAACAACATGATGAAAACAACACAATGTAATTTGAATAATGAAATCATCTTGTCTGTAAAAGGAACTACGTGGACACAGGAAGTAGTGGATAGCATCCTGAATGAAGGAGATGTTGAAAAGTGCAAGCGGGCGCCCACTCAGGTGCGCATGCCATTCTTAGAGATGACTGCTCCTGATGGTTCAAGTTCTGGTATGTTTTATAGAACCAAACACTGTTTAGCAACTTTAAACATATATATTTTCATGCAAGGTATATCCTATGCATAAAAAAAACATTTAAACTCTAATGTTATAGGTATAACTAAGCTGGAGGTTATGGATCCCCCTCGTGTTATAAAAACTCATCTTCCCATCCAGCTTGTGCCTCGTTCTTTCTGGGATGCTGGTTGCAAGGTTAGAAGGTTAGATTTCATGGGCTGTATTGAAAAATACAATATTATGTGAATGCTACACCCACCTTCATTTTTCCATAGGTTATTTATATGGCCCGTAATCCAAAAGACACTGTGGTTTCATATTATCACTTTGACCGCATGCATCTTTACCAGCCAGAGCCTGGCCCTTGGCCACAATATCTGGAGAAGTTCATGAAAGGGCAATGTGAGTCATGAATGCTGCGACTGTTCACTATAGCAATGGCCTTGTTTTGTGTAAAATGTGAATACGCTTAATTATGATATCTTAAATGAACTCCTAATGACTGAATTTTTTTCAGTGGGTTGGGGATCCTGGTATGACCATGTTAAAGGATACTGGAGGGAAAGGCATAACAAGAAAATCCTTTACATATTATATGAAGACATGAAAGAGGTCAATCAGCTTTCTGCAAAACATATTTATATTACATGGTTTTTCTTATTAACAAAGTAGTTCAGGCAAAAAATTAATTTTGCTGATAATATACTCACTCTCAGTCAGTTCAAGATGTAGATTGTTTCTTCATCTGAGCAGATTTGGAGAAATGAAACAGGAGTCCAAACAGCTGATAAAAACATCACAAAAATCAACAAGTAGTGCAAGTAATCCACAAGCTGCATGTCTGTAAAAACAAATCCATCAAGACATTTTTAACTTCAAACCATTGCTTCCGTCTAAAATAGAGAAAATCCTCTATCCATAATATTGCTCTCTCCAGTCCAGTTAAAAAGTAATCTTGTCTGAATTAGGAGAGAAATATGCACAGATCAAACAAACGAAAACTGTCCAAAACTAACAAATATGTTAGTGGATTTTAATATGAGAGAACAACAGGGGATGGACTTTTTCACAGGAGGTGTTATTATTATGGATTCATATTTTGGCCAGAAGCAACTGTTTAAAGGTAAAATGGCTTGATGGCTTTGTTTCTTAAAAACATAGAGCTTTTCACTTCACAAGATGTTAATTGATGGACTGGAGTCATGTGGATTACTTATGGATTATTGTATTGCTTTTATCAGCTGTTTAGATTCCCATTATGATTCATAAGGGATAAGTGATATAATGCAAAATTTTATTTGATCTACATCTTGAATAGAGTCAGTTTTCAGCAAATTAAAATTTTTGGGTGAGCTCTTACCTTTAACTTTTTGAGCCTATGAAAAGTCTTGAGTATTTGAGACTAAGTATGAGTATTTGAGTAATTTGTATACTTTATTTCAGGACCCTGTTCGTGAAGTAACCCGCATTGCTCAATTCCTCGAACGGCAGTTGTCAAAAAGTACAATAGAGCATATTGTGCAAATGACAGCGTTTTCAGTTATGCGAGAAAACCCCATGGCAAACTACTCAACTATCCCAGATACAATCTTTGATCGCGCAGCCTCAGAGTTCATGAGAAAAGGTGATTTTTATTTATTTATTTATTTTAGAAACTATTATTGTAATGAACCATTTAAATTGGATTTGTTCTATTCTTTTTCAGAATTTATATTTATTTTGTTTTATAGGTGAGGTTGGTGACTGGAAGAATCACTTTAGTGCAGAAGAGGATGCTGCATTTGAGGAACACTATCGTAAAATAATGTCTGATTGTCCTATTCCAATACGGTTCACAATATGAAAGACTGAAATGGAGTGTGTCTGTTTTCTAGTCCAAAAAAAAAAACCATTACAATTTCCTAAAGTTATTATTATTAACTATGTAATCCCATATATGTTTCTATTTTGCCTCATAAAGTACATTGTACATTGCTGGGCAACAAAATGTAATATTAATGTTCTACTCTGGATGGGTGGTAATTGTTGACTGTTCAAAGCTCTTGAATGGAGTGTAAAGTTCAAGTCCCCTCATAAAATCTCTGGAAAGTACACATGATATCAGTTAACGGAAATGAAATTAATCTTAAGCAGAGGGCAGAAATGTAATGTTGTTGTTTTTTTATTTCATATTTTTACAATTTTAAATCAGGAACAGGCCTCAGAAATAATTATGGGAATACATTAATAGATTAAAACTTTGTGGCTGTAGAGAAACAAATCATACAGTTGTAAAAACTGATCAAGGCCTAAGTGACCTTTGAGACTGTGCTCCCAAACATCCAATGCTTATATCTGCACTTCATAAAGGTTATATGAGAGTGAGGTTCGCAAACAACGCAACTGAAAATAACAAAATAAGGTCAGTAATATTGATGATTTTGATTAGTTAAGATTTAGTTTTTTGTGTGTGTGTGTGGCCAGTTTGACTAGTATCTATGTAAACAAATCATTGGCACATTAAACAATTTCTCACTTACATAGGCATGTTGTCCTTCATTTCCCGGTTTCTGCCAAGTGTTCCTACTTGGCTAACACCAAGTGCTATTCCTTTACATAGTGTTTTACAAGGTGAGTCATGAAATGAAAATTCTGTCACAAATGTTCATTAATAAAGGAGTTAATTTACTTTGATAACAATAGATTATTTATTATAAATATAGATTGATCTTTTGGTATAATCTTGCCCTGCATTGTGAAATTATATATATATATATATATATATATAATTTTGTGTTTTATGTTAATCACAGGGCTTGTGGGTGCTTGTGGAATCTGGGTTCTTCGTAACCTTTTAAAAATTGCATTTGCTTATCTCTTCATCTGATCCCCAAGGCATTCAGTAGATAAGATTGTAAGTATGATAAGTATGTAGATAAGTATGTAATAACATACTGTATTTTCACAGCATGTCACCTACGTGCCTAAAGGCCCATTAAAAAGACCTGGAAGTCGGGGAGAACTAAGGAATTTCGAAAGGAAACTGGACTAGGCTTGGATGAAAACAAACTTGACACATATATATACACACACACACACCTCTGCAAAATATAGGTGTTAGACACAATCCCATGAGGGTCTGTGGTTTGTCTGAAAAAAAAGTACATTTAAGTATTTAAGCGATACGTGCCTTTCAATTCCTAAATATTTCAAGCCGATTTAGTACTGCATGAAAAAGAATACCTTCCATAATAAATATAGCCATTCAATGTATGATCTGTATGAATATGGTGCATTACATTTCCTCTACACCTATATATATAGAGAGAGAGAGAGAGAGAGAGAGAGAGAGATCTCAAGCAATATTAATTTTGACTATCTATGACTTGGATAGGAACAACCAACAAATTTGGCCAGGGTCACCCACGCAGGCATTATAATAAACACAACGAACACAACAAAAACAGGTAAAAGTAGCATTTACACTCACTACAGAATTGCGTCTAATCTTTTAACATTTTTGAGCCCTGTAACAATTTAGTTCCGCCAATTCCTTGGAAGCAGCCAAGCGCTAAAGTAATTAAACTGAACTTGAACCCAAAATAGCTCCACTGGAAACAAAATGGCCGCGGGGCTGTCATTTCTTTTGTTGTGCTGGGTTTTGCCTACACTAGGTTATTCTCAAAATGGCGTCATATTTCAAAGAACATTATTTTGAAAACGGACAAAAATGAACAACAGAACAGTTAAGAACATCGAGTGTGTGATCTGTTCGTGACGCGTAAATCGCTCTGGTATGCAGTCTGTACGCGTTTAATTCATCACGGCGAGACTGTTCCAGGACGTTTAAAAGCGCTCAAACACACAAGGACAAAACATTTCTCTCAAACGCATTCCACATTCTGTCACTTTTTTGTTTACAATCCCGTCGTTTCCTCTGTCGAATAAATACATTACAATTATTCATATCAATTTAGTAAAGCAATAAATGTCTTCAGGTCCTTAGAAGTTTGCCACACCGTCTTGTGTTTGGAGCAAGAAAAAAGAACATTGTTGTCCAAGTATCCCGGGGATTCATTTATTGTATAACATACAACATTGTTTAGGACTAAATTGCGTTTTTGTACATCCAACGTGCAACCAATCCCAAACACAATCCCAAAAGAACGGTCAAAGAATTACATTTTATTAGTTCTATTCCATAAATATTAAGGATTTAGGCAGATCCCGAAAGTCCATGCAATTCCAGTAAAACCTCAAGACTGAATCTGAAGATTATGTGGCTTGCTCAAGATCCAGCCTGAGAAACTGCTCCACCTCGGTACAAGTTCCAGAATTTTCTACCACTCGGGAGGGTTTGTGATCGCTCTTTGTCAAAACTCTATGTGGGCGTGAAAAGCGCACGCGCGATTCATCCATTGCGGTCCCTGTTTTGCCGCATTGTGGCGCATGCGAGAACCAAACCATACGCCTCGTGCATAGTTGGAAAACAGACAAATGTTTGTTTTAATAAGGAAATGTTACATGATTGGGCATTACCTTGGGTGTTTCTTCAAGACAGCATTTGATTGCCACAATAAACTAGTGATTAATCATCGCCTTCATTTACATTTTGGACAGTTTATCCTAATTGTTAACAGGCTGTACTGTCGTTAATTATTAAGCTTACGCGACGCTTGTCTTTTCAATTAACTAATCATGTTAAAGACATCGTTCTTGTTGTTGTAGTTAAGACTGGGAGATATCCGACTAGGCTACTAATCTCCCACAAATACAGACGGAACTATTAGCTAGAGAGTTGACTAAATTATACCTGCGCTAAATGAACTAGTTCCCCGGAGTACAGAGGATCTCGTTATGTCTTTTGTTTTGACTTGTGAGTCGTTTATAAATCAGACTGTTCCCACTTGGATTTTGGGAAACAAATGGATGTGCAAACGTATACCTATGGAGCTTATAATATGACAAAACTATTTGAATTTGTATTGTATACATTTGAATTACTGACAAGTGGCATTTATCAAAACTGAATATTATGTGGCATTTAACACAGTTCTGAATTAGTCTTTGTTTACTTGAATATTGAACACTTGAAATTTAACACGACTGAATTTTTTTATAGCAGAGTTTTATAGACATGTAGGCTATTTTCAAACAGTGATTTTTTTTGTTCTGCATTCTTTGACTGCACATATCTAGTTTTTAAAAATACAACTTCAAGTTTTCAAGAGGAAATTCGGAACATCAAATTCAATATGCAGAAATTCAGATAGTAGGCTACAGAAAGTAGGTAAGAGGTAATCCACAGGGAAGAGTAGATGATCTCCGAAAAAAAGTCAAATGAAGCATTTTGGCCAATTAGTAGTTTTCTGGAGTTCAGATCAGGTTGATCTAACTGATCATGAATCGCCCAGAGGTATCCTAAATCATTCTTAAACATTTATGGTTTAAACAGCCTACTTATATGTTAGGTTAGCGTTCTCAGCATGTGATATTTGTCTAAGCCAGTGGTTCTCAACCTTTTTTACTCTAAGGCCCCCCTCCTCTCCAAGTCAATACATACCTTGCAAAAATTTCACTTCAGATATTCTTTACAACTTAAAAGTACGTAAACCTCAATTATACAGTAACTTTAACAAATAAGCACAAGTCAACCTGCCATACCAAACAAGACCACAGGGAGACGCCAAATGAATGCATACACGGATCCATGCAGAATAACTAATCACACCAAAATACAAATGAAAAATGAAACTATTCTCACAACCACTGTGTCTAGACCGGACACGAGCAGTGAGACGTGTTGCGACAAAAGACGGCAGAACCTTATTGTAATCAATACTGACTACACTGAATGTGAAATTCCCAAAAGCAAACGGATTCCCCGTTCTATTTCTGATGTAGTCCAAGCTCTTTGCAACAGCCGCTTTGTCGTTTCAAGTAGTCGCATCCCTATAGACATGGTGTTGCGCTGCGCCGCATCCAGTGTAGAAAATATCACTGATTATAATTAATGGGCTCTACCTCTTTTTTGCTTTCGCTCGTGTCCTGTGTAGACACGGTGGCATGCTAATCACTTCCACACCAAACTTTAAACTTTAAACTTTAAACCAAAGTTTAAACTTTAAAACAAACACAAGAGACCTCTTAGATAAACGTTTCACATGCTGAGAACGCTAACCATATAGGCCTAAATATAAACCATAAATGTTTAAGAATAACTTAGGATACCTCTGGGCGATTCATGATCAGTTAGATCAGAGGTGCCCAAACTCGGTCCTGGAGGGCCGATGTCCTGCAGAGTTTAGCTCCAACCTGCCTCAACACACCTGCCTGGAGGATTCTAGTATGCCTAGTAAGAGCTTGATTAGCTGTTTCAGGCATGTCTGATTGGGGTTGGATCTAAACTCTGCAGGACACCGGCCCTCCAGGACCGAGTTTGGGCACCCCTGAGTTAGATCAACCTGATCTGAACGACAGAAAACTACTAATTGGCCAAAATGCTTCATTGGACTTTTCGGAGATCATCTACTCTTCCCTGTGGATTACCTCTTTCCTACTTTCTGTACGATCTGAATTTCTGCATATTGAATTTGATGTTCCGAATTTCCTCTTCATCTTGAAAACTTGAAGTTGTATTTAAAAAAACTGGATATTTGCAGTCAAATAATTCAGAACAAAAAAAAAATCGCTGTTTGAAAATACATGTATATAAAACATGTATATAAAACTGCAATAAAAAAATTAAGTTGTGTTCAATTTCAAGTGTTCGATATTCAAGTAAAAAGAAAAAAAATCAAAAAAAGCTCCATAGGGTATACAAAGCAGCAGCACTGAAGCTAATAACACCGTCCTGCCACTGACTCATGAATAAAGAGTTTGCGGTAAACCACACGTCTCACAATTTACACCCCAAGATTATGATTAACTTGCATTTTTAAAGTCCTGTTCTACAAACAGCATGCCAAATGCCATATTAAAGCAAGGCAACCTAGTCTGACTTTTACCTTGCAATCTAAGCCGGGGCATGAATCCAACGTATATGCACATTTTAACACTTAAAGGTGATTTACAGTAAACTATGCCATGTCCGATTATTTGGTCCATGTGGTATTCCGAGTGCTCATTGCATATGCGCGATCTCGTCATGAACCGGAGCGCGCTCCTCGACAGCGAGGTTGAGGCTCTCGTAGTCAACACAGCTTTCAAGTGCAAGCGGGTCCAGTCGTAGTGTCGAGTCAGAGGAACTGCTCGCCCACCGTAACACACATTCAGCCGGATTTAACTCAGTAAGATCTTCTGTATGATCGGGGGACACCAAAACGCAGTATGGTCCGGGAAACCAGACATTTATGGGTGGGGAATTTACCAGAAAATGTTCGAGAGGAAAAAATTATCGAGCACTTCAAACGGTAAGTGACGATTTGCTTGAGAGCGAGACAACATCCAGCAATGTGCTTCCTTCAAGTGTTTTGGGGGGAAACAATAGCAGCGCACCGGTGCGGAGTTAAACACCTTAAACGTGTGCCACAACTTTCGCAGCAACGCTGCTATGGAGTTGGCTTGTTTTGGCTCACTTAACGTACGTTACGCTGGCTAGTGATTAGCTTTCGAGAGTCGCAGTCGTCGCTAGGTTGCTAATTAGCACGGAGGGGCTCATCCAAGCGCGTTACTTGTAACCGTTGGTTGTATTACTGCTGGCTTCAACTTGCGTTAATTTGCAACCCAGATGTCAGTAGCACTATTGAAAGGTAACGTTTGTTGCATGGTGGTTGAAAAAATACTGCGAGCGAGCTGAATTGGCTAAATGCTGTCTGTAACGTTACTTCTAAAAGCATTAAAGGGTGTTGTTTTGAGC